GCACCCTGCCCACATAAGCAAGGAAGGAGCAGAACAGCCCAGGGCCACTCCAAGTTCCCTGGGAAGCATAGTCTCAACCCTATATGCCCTCACGGCTTCTATTTGGAGGCTCACGCCAGAGTTGATTCTTTACAAGCCTCCTCCATGGTTGAAGAAAGCATTTTCTTCATCCTGTCCATAACTTCCCAGAGCATGGAAGAAACTCATGAAGAAATTGAATCGTCAAGTGATAGCTAAACATGCCAGTTCCTTACGGACACTTGCTATAGGTAAAAAGTCAGGTCATAATGGAGACTTTACATTAGCCAGTTCATTGCTCTGGTCCTCAGTTTCTCTATCTATAGCATAATGTTCTAAGGACTACAATGTCATGACTAGGAAGACCACAGTTTCTCAATGGATGTTCAGCAGAGTCCTTGTAAAGAATTCACCTCTGCAAAGAAGCAAGTTCCTGGCCACTTCTTCTGACCCCCAAAATATAGAGAAAAGTTTCAGTAAGGCTTGCTGTTTGTTGCTAACTTCCCAGAAAAGCCTTATGCAAATGTTACTAGTGTGTGCCCATGAGAGACAGGTAACATTTGCAAGGCCTGGACACCTGTATCCAGAAGGCAGGCTCTATCCTTATGCTGGAGATAGCTCCCTTGGCTAATTTTGGGATCTCAGACTTCCAGGTTCACCATACACCCCGATGAGACTTACCCAAGAAGTTTTTGACTTTCCATCATGGGGAAAGGGAGACTTTGGGAATTCTCTGGCACTAAAATTGGTGGTTCCATACCACTCCTGTCTGGACATTCTAGGTTAAGGGCAGAGGCTGAGAATCAAGTTTGTAAGAGGGCTTCAGTGAGTGCGCAAGCCAAGGCTAACCTCATTTCCACAGGACAAACACTGGTTTGGCGAAACATTTGGGAACAAACACTTGCTGTGGAGGCAGGCTGAGCATAGGACAGCGGTGGATAGATAGCACAGAGGCGCAGAGACGTCTGCTGTTTATTAGTGCACAGAGTAGGGACTGTGTGTTACTCCTCAAAGGGCAGTTTGTATTCATTCGTAACATCTACTGTCAGTGCCCTGTGCCAGACCCCATAGGTGTGGATCTGTTACAGTCCAGTGGAAAGACCTCTGTGCAAATAACTGTAATATGTGATACCCTCTCTGCCAGTGAAACACGGGGATTAGACGAGGCCCATGCCTTGTGCTGTGGGTTCCAGGTACTTCCTGGGGAAGAAGGGCAATACTGGCCTAAGCTCAGAAGCCAAATGGTCTGTGTTTGATCTGGACCCTTGGTTTACTGGTTGTGTGACCTTGAACAAATGACCTAACCTCTTGGGCCTTAGTTTGAGCATCAGTGAAGCAAAGAAAGCATACAAAGAACAAAGGAGTTGGTGTTATTACACCTCACAATGTCCGGTGTATAAAGGACAATGTTTAAGTAGTCCGGAAGCACCGGCACAGTAACAGGCCTCTGCTGAGCAATAAAACAAGTGACTGCACTTTCTTATCCAGGAAGAATTTGGAAGGTGTGTGTGAGGAAGGAACTTCTAACCCTGAGGGCGTGCAGGACAGATAAGCTTGAGAGCCAGACACAGGTCTTTAGAGATTGACTAAGGTTAACCTACCTATGGGGCTGAAGCAGTCAGGGAGGGCGCTCACCGACGGTAGAAAGCTCAGGGCACATGTGGGCCCACCAAAGCCCATTCCTCTCCATTAGTTATGTGTCCCCAAACCTGCTTCCAAAACTATTCACAGGGTGAGCCCAGGGATGCTATGGAAGAACGGTGCAGCCTCATGGTGGGATGACCTAGGAACTCAACACCAATTCCTTTTTTTCTTTCACTAATAAACGGTTGGTTTTGCTTCAGTAACCACTGGGTACATGCCTGCCATGAGCCAGACCCTGGGCTGGCTCTGGAAGCAAAGATCAAGATATAATTTCTTGGCCTTTCAACATTATTAGGTGAGTTGGAGGTCAGAGATAGAAGTGACTATCTTTTAGTCCTTTTCTGCCAGTATCTCTGTTTAAATTCAGTCAATAGATTGAGCTCCAATGTGCTTGTTGCACGTCGGTCATTTTGCTAGGTCTTGAGGATATGAAGTGATTCTGGTCTTCTGGGGGCTCACAACCGGTGTGAAGGTCATGAACTAAAGTACAGTTTGGGAGACTTAGCACAATGAAAAGGGCAGCACCAGGCAAGACTCACAGCACAGGCATTTGAGCTGTGGTGTGAGGTAGGTTATAGTCAAGAACACAGGTGAGAGGACGCACGGTCTACACAGGAGGTGAGGAATGGAGGCTGGCAGAAGTCTGTGAAGGCGGTACCGTGCGAGGCCAAAGACGACAGAAAGCTACACATTTGGGAAAATTGCTTAACTCAGTGTGTGCTGAGGGCATGGATGGAGATACAGATGGGAAAGGAGGTAGGGTAAGTGACGGGGCTTAAATCCAAACCAAGGATTAGGGTTTTGTTTGGGAGGCATAGGGAAGCTTCTGAGAGGATTGAGGCAAGTGAGAGAACTTTCTGGCAGGAGTGTGGAGAATGAGACCAACTGGGATGTGATTTTATATCCTTAACGAGATGATGAAACTCTGAAGGGCAATACTGGAGTGGGATAAAGGATGAGGAAATGGATCTGGGAGTCCCACGTGCATTAAGTGTTGCTGAAATCCTGGCTCCTCACACATGTTCATGTAATGGTAGCACTAGGAACTTTAGGAATGAATCATATGGGAGCCATGTTGTTTATTAAACATGGCTTTCCTTTTTCTAGCATCCAGCACTTTACTATCAGAAAGTCTTGGTAGTGTGGCTGTGCTTCCCTCGAAGGCAGCACTGCCTAGTTGCTGACCTCCAGGGGTTCAGAGTCAAAGGGATAGATGAAGAACTCTGCCCTGCCCCTTGATGCAGATGGGGCTTGAGAAAATTGCTCTGAGCTTCTGGACTGCCTTTCTTTGGGTTGTCTGTGTCATTTCCCAAAAACTGTCACTCCTCCTGGCCACCACACACTCTAATCCTCTGGGTTTACAAGCGGACAATAGCTCTTCCAACTGCTTTATTGAAATTTCCTAAGGTTTTATCAACAAGTTACTGTTAGCAATTCCCCCCCCCCCACACACACACCTTTTTTTTTTTTTTTTTTTTTTTAGCTGAAAAGCTGTGGTGCAGGAAGCTGAGGTGACTTCCCCAAGGCAGAGTACTAGTGAGTGAATGGAGCTGCTGCCTGCACCCAGGCCATATGACTTCAGAAGATGGACTCTTAAGCACGTAATACTACTTGGTAAAACCAAGAACAACTAACAAATTGTGAAAAAGAGTTAAGAGGGTAAAAAAAAAAAAAAAAGACCATGTTCATTTTAATTGTGATTCCTGTCAGATAAGCTGGGTGCACACCGTTATCTCAGCACAGAGGCAGAGGCAGGCAGATCTCTATGAGTTCCAGGCCAGTCAGGGTTAAACACTAAAACCCTGTCTCAAAATTTTCAGTGGAGGGCTACAATGTGAGTGGTAAGAACTCTTATTGTCTTTCAAAGCTAAGTATTTAAGAAAGCTAGAGCCTTCTCAAATGCAGAGGGAGGTTCAAGGCAAGAGAACTGACTGGTAACATTTAACCATCTTTAGGAGCTTTTAGAGATACAAAAATGTGACTTGATAATAGAAAAATCACACAACTTCAACATCCCGAATAGTCTGATATTGTTTGCTTGATGTAAACGGTGGCTCTGATTTCTTTTTTTGTTAACAGATCCCATTAAGAGTCTGAGGAACACAGACTCCCTTACTGGAAGAACGTACACTTAACTTTTGCATAAGAAAGAGGATTCCAAGAACTGCTCCTGGGGAGAAGGTAGAGGGGCTACAGAACAACGGAAAGCAGGTGGCCAGGCTTCTGAGTCTTTTGCTAAGATGAGGGGACATAGACCAGTCGCAACCCTACCGGAATGGTCATCCCTGGCTTACTCACAGCAGCGGACTGTTGACAACTGCAAGGTGAGGTGAACTGTGAAGTGCTAGCTGAATGTTGTCAGAAAATAGGGGCTGGGAGAATTTCCTCACCTGGTCACACACAGCAGAACTCGGGGCCATAATGGGAAGAAGCCTCTCAAGTGCACACACATGGGAAGACCTCCCACTCCCAAGGATTTTAAGATGATCATGTGAGAAATGGGTGTGGAGGATTACACAGATGTAAACGCAATGCCTTAACTTAGTTGTTTCTGGACTGAATTTAGCACTGTGTCCTTGTGGGATCTAGAACTGGGGAGCTGAATGGGATGGGGTTGTTTATGTATCAGTCAGCGATGCTGCCAATGGAGACAGGTAAAATTCTCTCTGGTACCCTATGAGGAAATGTGCCAGAGCTCTGCAGTCTCTAAACTCTAACCTGCTGCCTGGCATACCCAGGCCAGTACCTCTAGCTTTAACACAACTACAGAGGTCATGTTTTTTAATTTCACTGGCTGAACAAAAACTACAAAATCTTAACCCCTTGCATTAGAAGACTCCACAAGAATGTTCCCAACCAACTCAGGCTGTGAATGATTTTGATTCAGATGAACACCTACCTGTACGCCTCATAAAACTCACAGGGTCAGATCACAGTGGCCTTCTAAACTAGAAGCCTTCCAAAGAACCTGCAACTATTAAAAGGCAACAGCAAACTGACATTGCTTCCGCAACCCTTTAAACCAATTCTTCAAAGACAAGTGGTGCTCCAAGAACACGGGGCAGTGACCTAGACGGGGGCAACTGTAAGCAGCAGACCAAGAATATGGAGGGAATATACTGCTGGCCTCACTCGGGGCCTGGAGGCTGGGAGCTCAAGGAAGTCTAAGAGTAAGAAGACCATAAAAGACACTGTTGATCTTGTGGCGGTAGCAAGTCACTTTAGTGCTGTGCTTATGAGAGAGAACCAAATGCTCTCTGGAGTGAACACTAACAGGAGGCTGAGCCAGTTAGACAGCTTTCCAAGGTAGGACTGAAAAAGGGTTTCTCAACTTCACACACATTCAAGTCACATTTAATAAATTTATGAAATTGGTTTCAGAGTAAAGTCTATATGTTGGTATACAGAAGTAAACGGGAATGGCAGGGAACCATATAATGAAGTCAAATCCAGATCAGATGGAACAGGTTAAACATAAGAGTGAGTTCAGAGACCTTGCTCAACCCTTGCCCATACCCTGGCTGCTGTTTCTGAGTATGGCTTGAGTTCAGGGTTGTGGCTTCTCCCAGCAGCTACAGAACAAGGTCTAGCTGGACAAAGAAGAGCTGTGCCCTAGTACAGCTGCAGTTTCGGAAATGACATCTTGTGGTGCCACTTGATAGGAAGGAAGGAGCAGAGCTGGAGAGGAAGTGCTCAGGTGGAACTCCCCTGACAGTGCGCTCCCTTCTCTTCAGTCAGCTGATAGATGAAGAGGATTAGCAACATCACTTAGAAGAGTTTTGACGTTCTTGGTCGAGCATCAGAGGAAAACAGGTGAATTTTCTGGCCGATATTTTTTGAGTAGAGGGAAAAGTGACCAGAATTATCTTCAGCTTTGGTTAAGTCTTCTCAGAACCTCATAGTGGAACCAGGGAAATACACCTAACACACTTACAAAATAACCAAACTGGGAAGTCAACTCTAAAGATAAAGACCAGAGATGACACAAAAACAGCCACAGAGAACATTTCAAGACTAAAAGGAAATTAATTGGCTGTGAAGATATAAATATTCTTATGAACTACCCCAAACCCCAAACCCATAGATTAACAAAGTCCACATCTACAAATCAAACCCCAGATTACTACATATCAATTCAGGCAACACATGAATTTTAGGCTAAGCCTCCAAATTTGTTCTCTTAAATATATGACGTCTGAATTTTTAGCCAAAGAATGAGATCCCTTTTATTTGGGATATAAATTCAATATCTAATATTAAAACATTCAGAAACTAAAATTATAGAGCAGGTCCGTTATTGCAGGAGAGCCCACAGGGCAGCTGATCAGCTTCTGGCAATAGAGGAGGTGTTTAAAACATCAAGTGACGGCCAGGTATAGTGGGGTAATCCTAGCACTTGGGAGGCTGAGGCAGAGGAAACAAACACCCCACCAAGTGACAAGGTCCCAGATGTCTAAGTAGTAGAAGGGGAGAAGCAGAACTGAGTGCGGTGTACACTGATGGCCCAGCAACTTGGTGGCGGGTGCCTGGGAAGTTCTAAATGCCTCTCTGCAAGCCGGATAACAGCTTCCCACAGCTGGCCAGTAGCAAGACTTAGTCCTGGCACTCTGCACACTACCTCAACGTACCGTGTACTCGACTAGTTCCCCAAGCTGCAATGAAACAAAAGAATTCCTCCAAGATGGACTAAGGCGCCCATGGCAGTAGTATATAAACACCCTGCATATATGTCAAATCAGTCCTCCAACAACATCTCACATGTCATTTATAAAGGAGTCATTTATACTACATACTTCTCTACCCCAAAATGTCTAACTTCCAGGCCAAGAATGTCCTACTTGACGTTTTTCTCTCTGCTTTTTAAAATTAGGTGATAAACTTAAAATCCAGTTATGGACATAAAAAAGCAGAGGTCTGAGCCCTGGCCCAATGACACATATCAAACACACAGCTTCTGATGTCAAGGACAAAAAGAACTGTCCTGGACACTGAAGGGGAAAAATAGGAACTGGAGAGGTTCTACCAGGGCTCACTGGCACTCAACAGTAAACAAGGGTGTTAAATAAGGGTGAAGAGCAGGTATCAATCAGGGGAGGGCAATGGAGTTGTAGTAGTGCTCCATCGTGAGGGCTGGGGAACATATACTCATGGATGGGAAATTTTAAGTAGCTATGTTTATTACTTTTTTCCAGCAATCTTGCAAGAGGCAGAAGTGTGACATTGAATTGAGACGAGCATGTGGGTGGGTTGGCGAGGAGCCCATCTCTTGACGTGTGCCACTGGCTTGTCAGAAGTGGCCGGTTCCACCGCTGAGTCATGTTTACTCTTTTGCTTCAAGGAAAAGGGTTTCTTGAGGGAACAACTTTACCTCCAATAATGACTTATTGGGGTCTAGCTGAGTTACCTGGAAAGAAAGAGAACACACATTCAGTAATCTGGAGCAAGCACTCTGACTTTCAGCATTCCACACATTGGCATGAGCATGTGCAGTGTCTTACTGGATCACAACAATTCTGTGCGGTGGTGGGGTTCTTCCAGGGCTCTCCGAAAAATCATATTCTACAGTCCCATCTAGAAGAGGAGTTAGTACTAACCACAAGGCTACTGCATAGTCTTGATACTGGATACATTCAGCTGGTTAAACAGAGGAATGGCAAGCCTGAGACCTGGACTTGGTGAACTGCTGCTAGCATGGAGGCCTGCTCTGCTGGCTGGGACAGCAACTAAACCTTTGGAGGGACAAGGGCCAGGCACTTCCACTAATATTCCAGGTAGCAAACTACAGACTGGCCATTCTACTGTATCCAGAGAGGATGCCATTATCCCGGGGAGCTCCCTAGGCACAGCACAATCTCCTCATTAAGAGGATCTCTAATTTGGAAAAATGAGGCAACCACATAATATGGCTATATTTTGGAAATTAAAAACATGCTGGGCAGTGGTGGTGCATGCCTTTAATCCCAGCACTCAGGAGGCAGAGGCAGGTGAATCTCTGAGTTTTCACCACAGAGAAACCTTGCTTCAAAAAACCAAAACCAAAAACACCCCAACTACTGAACATAAACAAAATTTTTATTAGATCTCTGCCCTCCCTAAGCCATGGCAGAGATGGCAGGTGAAGGCTTTAAAAACCTAAGAGAAAGAAACACATTTATCAAAAGGGATCATGAGTTCCGCAAGGCTGAAAAATGCAAGGTTAGTGGAAAGCATAAAGGCTTTGAAAACAGGAAGACTGCAGTTTAAATCACAGTGGTGTTGGCTATCGTCTTTGTGGCTCTTGTCAGACTGATCAAAATTAAATGGGAAAAAACATAATTAGCACAATGTCTGGCATAGAGCAGATCAACAAAGCATGCTACGTACGAGAACAACTATAAAGGGAGATGGACATGTGGGCAATGGGCTGCTCTGAGTGTGCAGTGGTTAGGTAATCTCTAGCTAACCTGAAGCTGCTGCTCTGCTATTTGCATGAGCTTTGGGGCCTTGGGCAAATACCCCAGGCAGACAATTTGTCTGTTCAACTCAAGCCACACATAATGTGATGACTCTGCTTTCCTCTTCCAGCAGGAAGGGGAGCCCCTGAGTGTCAAAGACAGACTGGTAAGGTAACGGGGAAACACTGACCTCATCGTATCCAGGAGACTTAACTTGGTATGCTCAGGAGGGTCATTAAAGACACACATCTAACCCTAGAATTCTTTCTGCTCATAAGGAACCCAGGGTGAATCTTGCCCTACTAGTATCTCTTGGGTGCTGGGCAGATGGGCAGGCAAGGTGGAAGGGAGAGCCTAGCTTGCTGTCTGCCTTCCAATGCACTGGGAGGGCAGGCTGCTGGCAAATGTTTGCCTACTTCCCCAATTAACGCACAATACTGCACTGACTTCTGTCAACAAACAGCTATGCTGCCTCTGCTTCAGACTCTGGCATTTTCTGTCCAGCTGCTTCTGCTATTGTTCTTAATTAACATGCCAGAGCTCTTCCGGCATCTTCTACTTTGTTATTTGTGGCTTGTAAATATGATGCTTATTGTGAGACACCAAAATCATACTAGTGCCAGAGCTGTGAGAGCAGGCAGGAAGACGTATTGGCAGGCAAAACAGGCTGGAAGGCTGGAGCATCAGGCCTATGTGGCACCCTACTGGGGTGGTAGACATGCAAGGTAAGAGATTCATAAACTCTTAGTTAAAATTACAGTTGTCACTGATAACACAGTGTCCAAGAAATACTAAATGATTTTCTCTAGTTATTCGATGTGTGGGGATTGGGGTCTGAGAAAGGCAGAAAGAAACATTTCTTGGACATCAATTATGAGCCAGGGACTTCAAACATATTTCTCAATTAGTCCATATTACAACCACCTGCAGAGTGAGACAACTGAGTTTCAATGTTGTTGTCATTTGTTTAAGGCCTTATGGCCAGGAGTCTGTCCACAGTGCCGTGATCACAAAGAGAGAAGCAAAGCTACACTCTACCTACACGACCTCTCTGATAGGGGAGTCAGTTGCTCCTTGGTAGGGAGTGTGGTAGTCAGGTGAAATAATGCTAGTGATGCCTCTGGGACCATCTAGCCAGTAAGTGCCCAGGAGATGGCACAGACACCATTGGCTGAGGTGTTTCTTGGCTAGCAGTCCTAAACTCCTTCTAAGTTGTTCTGGTTGTCTTTGTTTCTGCCCCATAGCCCGGAAAGAATGTTGCCCTTTTCCTTAGGTAATTCCTTCAGTTCTGGAGATCTCGAGCTTCAGGGAGGCCTACAGATAGTGGGCTGGTTTGAAGTAAACACAGCTCTGTTGAGGCATACCCTCTCAGAAGTCCCATAAGAGGCCTTCCAGATCACCCCATTTTGAAGCTTATTTCATTTATTTATGCTTAATGTGTTTTTACTATCTAGTCTTTTATTAATTTTTCTTTTTTAATCCATTTGCTTTGTAATACAGATTATTACAATAGTAGTGTAACTGTTGACAACAATAATAGCCAACAGCTTATAATTTTTCATTATACATCAAATACATTAACTCATTTAATCCTTATAACGGCTCTTGAGCTAGATACTGTTATTTCTATTTGGCAGGCCAGGAAACACGTTTAGAAAGGCTGAGATTTTGCTCAAGGCCACACAGCTAGTAAGCCAGGAATTACATTTGTATTCAGAGCCACTCTCTCTCTCTATCAATCTATTCATTTATTTTGTGCAGATGGGAGCTTCGCCTACATGTATGTCTGTGCAACATGTGTTTGCAGTGCCGACAGAGTCCAGATCCCACAGAACTGGAGTTACAGACAGTTGTGAATTGCCATGTGGGTGCTGGGAAGTGAACTAGGGTTCCCTGGAAGAGCAACCAGTGCTCTTAACCACTAAGCCATCTCTCCAGAGCCCAAGTGCTGAGATTAAGGGTTGTGCCACCACACCTGGCATCATGCTTTTAATACTGCAGTTGCCACCCAATCTACCCTGTGTGTGAGTGCCTGAACTCAGCAATACTCTTGAGTTGGTGTTAATGAGTATACAGATAGCATGATAAAGAAGAATACATTGTAAACCATACGAAGTTTTTAAAATATCATTTGCTCTAAATGCTAGTCTTTTAACTAGTGTTATTTCTATTTTACAAATGAAAACATAAGACTAAGAGATTAAATTAAGTGCAGGGTGGCGGTGGTGGTGCACGCCTTTAATCCCAGCACTTGGAAGGCAGAGGCAGGTGGATCTCTGTGAGTTTGAGGCCAGCCTGGTCTACAAAGCTAGTTCCAGGACAGCTAGGGCTGCTACACAGAGAAAACCTGTCTCAAGAAAACAAAAAAGAGATTAAGTTAAACCCTGCTGTTCCTGAATTAAAATTTTAAAAATAAAAATAGCCTTTTGGTGTTTTACTGCCCAGTAGTATAACTATAGTTAACAATAATGCATTATTTAGTTCTAAATAATCAGAAGAGACATTTTTCACATTTGGCTTTTTAAAATACTGTTTTTATTAATTCTTTGAGCATGTCACAAGATGTATTTTGATCATATGATCTTCTTCCTTAACTTTTCCCAGACTCTCACCGTTTCCCTCTCATTCCGTTCAACTCCCCTAGTCCAGCTTGTGGGGCTGACTACTCCTGCACGGCACTGCTGTGGAGTGTGCTCCATGCATCAGGTGTCACCCCATTAAAGAAAACCAGCAGCAACCCAATGCCAGCAGTCAGAAGGAGTAGGACTTGGTGCCTGTCTCCCCTCCTCCATGCTGGGATTTTGTCTGTCTCGATTTGGCTCCAGTCCTGTGCACACTGTCACGATCACTGTGAGTTTATATGTGCATCTGCACTGTTGTATCCAGAGAGCACTGAGTCTTCCGAGTCATCCACCATCTCCCTCATAGATCCCCGAGACTCGGGGGACTGCCAGAACATTTGTGGCACTACTGCACCAGTAGGCACACCTTGCCAGATGGGCTGTTAATGCAGATTGTGGGGTTTACTACTAGGTGAGACTGATGGTTACTTTTCTCTTCCAGCTGAGTGCACAGTACTCACCAGTGCTCTGAAAGCCACCAGCAGGGAGGAAGCTTCTAGTGAGCACCACCTGGATTCCCCATGATCACTGACTCAAGTACGTGATACAGAAGAGAGATTTTAAAAGATCTCATTATAAGGAAATATTGACGGGGTGATGGGTATGCTAAGAACCCTAATTTGATTATTATGATGTATGCATATATCAAAACTCACAATGGACTCTATAAGAATAGCCCTACAACCCTACTGTTTAGGGGGATCCACTCCTAATAAACTCATTTTCCTTAGGTGTGTGTTTCTATTTTTGAGAATTCCACACACGAGCACTGTATCTACATCATTTCTACCCTCCGACCTCTCCATGTTCCCTCCACTCTCTCAAATTCAGGACAAAGACGGAAAACTTTGCATCCATTGTAGTTTGTAAGCGAGAGAGAACGAGGGGAACTCAGGGGGAAGGGCATGGATTACGTCAGGGGGGGTCTCCTGAGAAACAGCAGAGGACAAGAGAACTGTGGACAGAGGGTCCACGGAAGTGGAGCTGCTGCTGCGGGGCAGAGCTGTGCTCTTCCGGCCCGAAATTCTCAAGACTGGCAAGCAGAAGAGAGCCAAGATGGTGGAGGTAAAGATCATGGGAGAGAGAACTCTTAAGGGAAGCAGCAGGAACTAACACAGCTAATAATGGTTCTTTCTCCTAATTTTGTTGCTTTTCTTCTTCCACCTTCAGAAATTTATCTTCTTGTCCTCACAGTCATTATCATAATAGCAGGTATCACTTAGTGAGCATCTCCCATGAGTTGGGTTCAGGCAGCCTGCATTTATGTCATCTCTTAACTAGTGCTGAAGATGGCCTAGTGAAATTAGTACTAGAGCCATCTTAGAGATAAGTACACCAAGGCTACCTTG